TATCAACTGAACGCTGTCTCCGTGTCATTCCTTCTTCGCTGCCTCCGTCCGCCCCTTTGGGGACCCCTGGACCTGCTGGGGTTGGACCCCAGCAAAAAAAATCATTATATGGCCCTCGCTGCTTTGGCTCAGTAGATACAGCCTCGGCCTGCAGACTGAAGGATCCCAGGTTTGATTCTGGTCAAGGGCATGTACCTTGGTTGAGGGCACATCCCCAGTAAGGGGTGTGAAGGAGGCACCTGGTTGATGTTTCTAACTATCCCTCTCCCTTCCTCTCTGTAAAAATTTAGAAAAATATATTTTTTAAAAAGCAGTAAGAAAAATATCCACGTGTGTTGGAATCTAACAGTTGAAAAAGGTTATGTCAAGAGCTAATTTGCCCCTCCATCCCCCAGCCATGCAGGCTGATGTTGGTAGTGAGGCTGAAGCAACTCTGCAGGAACTGGGATCTCAGTGAGGGAGTGGAGGTGGGGAGAGGCTTGAACACAGGAACATGACTAAAATTGAAATTCATGTAAGCACGTTCATTAAATAAGAAATTGCAATGGTCTATGTGAGGATGAAGAACTAGAAAGTGAAACCACAACTCTCCCTGGGTAGATGGGCAATTTCATACTCACACCAACAGCTAGCCTTTCCTGCTCCCTTCCTCAATCCCCACAGAGACCAAGACTCAACATGGCTGAGTTCTAGAATCTTTCCGAGGGACTTGACCTGGGATATGAGACTTGGATGACTAAGACAAGTGATCAGTTAGTTCAACAGCATTGCTTACAAATAAACCTTTTAAAGAAAATTGTGATAAAAAGCATTACTAAAACAAATGTGTCCAACACCTGAATTAAATTGCATTAAATACTGTTTTTGCACTGCACACTTATTATTTCACTAGAGGCCTGGTGCACAAAAATTTGTGCACTTGGCGGGGGCGGGGGGGAGGTAAGGGGTAGTCCCTCAGCTCAGCCTGTGCCCTATTGCAGTGTGGGACACCCTTGGGAGATGACCACCTGCTGGCTTGGGCCCACTCCCGGGGAATTGAGCTTAAGCTGGAAATCAGACATACCTCTGGCATCCCAGAAGCCCTCGGGAGATGTCTACTTGCCAGTGGGGAGCAGGCCTAAGATGCAGTCGGACATCCTTAGCACAACTGAGCAGCAGAGGCTCCCACCACCACTGCTGAACTGATAGCCATCAGCCTGGCTTGTGGCTGAGCAGAGCTCCCCCTGTGGAAGGGCACTGACCACTA